TGGATTGGGATCGACAGGAGGCCATGCATGCCCGCCTTATCTTTTGCCAAGTGCATGCTGCACTCAAGCTGCTGGTGAGCCTTATGTTAGCTCAATTGTCCTCTTGTGGTGTGGTGGTGGGTCATGGTGGAGGCCATGCACTGCCGCCTTGTCTTCTGCCAAGTGCACGCCTCTCTCAAGTTGCTGGTGAGAGCAGGTAACTCATTGCCATGCCTTGTTCACTGCTGGCAACTCATTGTAATTGGTTGGTCTGTCCAAATTGAGCTGGATGGTACGACCATGTGGTTGGTTAACCAACAATGGCCATTGTTTCTCTGGTTGGCCATTGTTGGTTCATCAACCCTTTAGAAGCGTCTCTCTTTCCTCTCTTGCTGCTTCTGTTCCCTCCACCTCGTTCCCCTTCTTGTCCCCTGTGTTCCCCCCCCAACTCTCTCCCACCAGGCGCCAGGCGGCACGTTCGTGCTCAAGCTGCTGGGCGGATCGCTGCTCTCAACAGCGTCTCTCCTCGCCCTGCTCGCCCTCTCCTTCCGCTCCATCCATCTCGTCCGCCTGCGCTCCTCCCGAGCCTGCAACGCCGAACGTTACGTGGTGGCTCGGGGATTCAAGGGGAGAAATGCAAATTCTACAGCCTCCCCCATTTCCTCCACCAACCCAACTCCTGCGCCCACCTCTCCCTCCTCCCCCTCTCTCTCCCACATTCTCCTCGACTTTAACCGCATATCACTCCAGTGGGAATCCCTCCCTCCTCCCCTCTCCCCGCTCCTCGCCCCCGCCCTCACTCTCCCCCTCTCCGACTCCTTCCTCCGCGCCCTCCTCTCCTTCGAGGCATGCATGCAGCAGCAGCAGGCGCAGGCCATGGGGCGCGCGCTGCTGATAGGGGAGCAGCTTGTAGAGGGGATACCGAGAGGGCCGGCGAGGAAGAGCAAGTGTTACAGGAAGAGGAGGGTGCTGTGGAGGGAGGAGGAGGAGATGAGGAGGAGAGGGTGTGTGCTGGCCAAGGGGCTTGGATTGGGAGTGAAAGAGGGCATGGCGTGTGTGTGAGAAATCGTGAGAGAAATTTCGACCAAGGGCCAAGGGACTTGGATTGGGAGTGAAAGAGGGCCTGGCGTGGGTTTGATTAGTGTTGTGTGTAGCCTGTATGTATGTATTTCAGCAGTAGTAGCAGCAGCAGCAGCAGTAGTAGCAGCCGCACCAAGTAGGGCATGGAGCGGTGCGTATATGGTAACAGCTTGTCAAGAGGATGCGGGTGAGGAGCAAGTGTTTTGGCTTATAGGAAGAGGAGGGTGGCTTGGAGGGAGGAGGGGGAGTTGAGGAGGGGGTGTGTGCTGGCCAGAGGCTTGGCTTGGGTGTGAAAGAGGGCATGGAGTGTGAGTGTGTGTGTGTGAATAGTGCAGTGTGTATTTAGTGTGTATGTATATTAGTAACAGCAGCCGCAGGCAGCATAGGTCATGGCTTCAGCATTGCTTGTATGGTTCCAGCTTGTAGAGGGGATGCGGAGTAGCCGGTGCTACATCAAGAGGAGGCTGTTGTGGAGGGTGGAGAGGAAGATATGTGGAGGGTGTGTGTGCTCGCTCGCCTTTTGAGCCGACTCAAAAGTCAGGGGATACGGAGGAGTAGCTGGTGCTACATCAAGAGGAGGCTATAGTGGAGGGTGGAGAGGAAGATATGTGGAGGGTGTGTGTGCTCGCTTGCCTTTGAGCCGACTCAAAAGTCAGGGGATACGGAGGAGTAGCCGGTGCTACATCAAGAGGCGGTTGTTGTGGAGGGTGGAGAGGGAGACAAGGAGGGGGCGTGTGCTCGCCAAGAGCCTTTGCTTGGATGCGAAAGAGGGCGTGGGAATGTGTGATTTGTCTTTTACGTGTGTACTAGTCTCTGTTTATTTACTAGCTTGTGAAGGAGGAGGTTATGGAGCAAGCTTGGTGTAGAGTGCAGCTTTGTGCAACGTGTCAATTGTAAATTGCATTTGTGGTATGTGTAGCAGCAGTAGCCAACAGATGGCAAAGAGGCGAAGGTTTATAAATTAGCAGCACATTATAGGGTTGTTATTTGTGAGTTGTTTGTTTCCCGAGCAGGGTAGTGAAGATGCTTCATGTATGCGAAGTGACAATCCTAGCACAATAAAAAAGATAGATTAGCAATTTAGCATGTAGAGGAAGCTGTATGTAACGAGGATTTCCTCCTCCATCCCCACCTCCTCTGCCGCCGCCACCACCACCACCACCACCACTACCACCACCTCCACCTCCCCTGCGCCAGGAGAGCACATCCGTCTGTTCAGGGGAAAAGTCGAGACTCGAGTATCTGAGTCTCGTAAACTTGGATCAGCTCGGAGCGCTTCTCCCCACTCGTGTTTCACCGCTGAAACTGTTCTCGCTCATTCCGCATTGGAATTACAGAAGCGAGAAAGAGCAAGGCTGCCTCTGCGTCAACAGTTCGTGTGACTTTCGCTGACACGGCTTCAAATCGTTTGAGAGGAGAATTAGCCGAGCCATTTCTGTGGTAACCCGATGTTAGCGAAACGGCTCATGTGGTAACCTGATGGTACAGGCCGTCTTGCTTTTTGAGGCGTCGTTGAGGCGGACCTAAAATTTTGAGAAGCGACTTTTCTGAGTCGAGTCGATCATCACACCATCCGTCACCAGACTCCGTTCGCGAGCGTCGCCAGCGCCGTTCGCGATCTTCGCGATGGCGAGTCAGAAAACAGTGACGACGGTGATCCGGCTGGTGATCAACGCGGGCCAGGCGAAGCCCGCGCCGCCCGTGGGGCCGGCACTGGGGCAGCACGGGCTGAACCTCATGGCGTTCTGTAAAGACTTCAACGCGCGCACGCAACACATCAAACCAGACGTCCCCGTTCCCGCGCTGATTACTGCATACTCGGTGAGTCTCCATGCTGCTTGCTGCGGCCAGCACGGGCTGCTGTGAACTTCATGGCGTTCTGCAAGGACCTCAACGTGCGCACGCAACACATCAAACCGGACGTTCCCGTTCCCGCTCTCATCACCGCATACTCGGTGAGTGTCAACGCAAGTCAACGCAAGTCAGCGCGTCGTGTCGTTGACTCTAGACTGGTTGAATGTTTCTGAGCTGGTCGGTGGCGGTTCCAGGCCCCGCGTGGGGCCGGGCCGGCGCTGGGGCAGCACGGGCTGGACCTGATGGCTCCGCATGGCGTTGTGAAGACTTCAATGCGCGCACGCAGCACATCAAACCAGACGTCCCGATTATTGCAAGGATTGCGCTGGGACAGCACGGGCTGGACCTGATGGCTCCGCGTGGCGTTGTGAAGACTTCAATGCGCACACGCAGCACATGAAACCAGATGTCTGTGCACTGCACTCACCGAGTTGATCCCTGCACTGATTACTGCATACTCGGTGAGTGTCTGTCTGTGCTGTGCTGCATGCGGGTTGCCCTAAACCTCATGGCGTCTTGCAAGGATTTCAACTCGCGCACACAACACATCGAACGCCATGAGGTTGAGTTCAAACATCAATATGCAACACATCGAACCGGACATCCCCATTCCCGCGCTCATCCGCCGCGTACTCCTCGGTGAGTGGTCATGCTGCATGATAATCTCTTCGCCGCTCAGTACCGTATTTGTGTGCAGTAAGTGTGTCACCGCGCTCATCCCCCGCGTACTCCTCGGTGAGTGTTCCTGCTAGTTGACACCGAACTGGACATCCCCATTCCCGCTCTCATCACAGAGGAGTACTCCTCGGTGAGTCTTGGTGCTGCTGCTTCCATCCGAAACATCCCCTGCCTTTCCTTATCACTGCGTGAAACTGGTGCTGTTCAGTCCACTGCCTGCCCTTATCACCACGTGATTGCTGCGAGTCAGCACCTCCCTTATCTTCTTCATCAGGATTCGCTCATATGACTTCATAATGCTCCCCTACCCTCCCTCTCCCCCTCACCCCACCCACACACCCACTTCCCTCCTCTTCACCTCCCTTATCTTCTTCATCAGGGCGCTCATCTGACTTCATACCCTCCCCTCTCCTTCTTGGCCCTCCACACCCACTCCACTTCCCGCCCTCTTCTTCGCCCCCTCCCCCCTGCGGTCCTCCTGTCACCAGGATCGCTCGTTTGATTTCATTATCAAGTCGCCGCCCACGTCCTACTTCCTGAAGCGGGCGGCGGGGCTGTCTCTGGGCGGAGGGGAGGCGGGGCATAAAATGGTCGGCGAGGTGTCCTTAAAGCACGTGTATGAGATCGCCAAGATCAAGCAGCAGGACCCCGGGTGCAGCTACATTCCTCTCGAATCCATCTGTCGATCAATTATAGGAACAGCTAGGTCCATGGGCATCCAGGTGAAGAAATCTCTTGAAGTCCCCAGCAGTACCTAATTGGATCAGTTTGGATATGGTTGGCACGGGTTTGCTTTTTCTCAGAAACGGTGCGCGTCTGTGGTGTTTCAAACAACAGGGTGTTCTAAGTCAGGAATCAGGATCAAGCTGCAGGACCCCGGGTGCAGCTACTTTCCCATCGAATCCATCTGCCGTTTGATCATTGGCACAGCTAGGTCCATGGGGATTCAGGTTAAGAAATCACTAGAGGTCCCCAGCACTAGCAGCTGAGTGGATTAGGTTTGATATACCGAAGTCGGTTCAGTTTCTATCCTTAACGACGGTGTGGTGGTGTGGTGCTTGCAAACAGCGACTTCTAGGCCAGGATCAAGCAGCAGAACCACGGGTGCAGCTACATCCCTCTAGTCCTTCTGTAGATGGATCATCTCATCAGCACGGCTAGGTCCTTGGGGATTTAGGTTAAAATAGCAATAGAGGTCCCTACCCTAGCAGCACCAGCTGATTGAGTAGGTTGAATTGGGTTGAATTCAGTTCTGGCAACCCTGGGTTGGCTTGGGTGTTGTCTCCTTACAAGCCTAAATTTCATTTTACAACTTTCCAATAGAAGTTAAGGACCTCAATTTCATTCATCTGAGAAGAATATTCACGCAAGCAATGCAGAGGTCCAGGCTGTACCCTATTTGCAGCTTCTCAAATGAGAAGCTTCTCAATGGCGTCCTGCAGGATAAACAAACAAGAAAACAAAACAAAAACATCGGATATTAACTAAACCCTCTTCAGCTGGTCAGGAAATATACACCTAACACATGTGTGTGCGCGCACAGGAAATCGGTCGATCAGAAGATTGGCAAATGGACGAAATGAGGAAGCTTTGCTGACCTCGAGGTTTTGGATCTGCGATTTGAGCTGGCTGCCCTCGTTGGACGTCACGGAGCATGCGATCGCAGGCCGCGACACACCGCACGCGCGCGCAGAGGTGGTTTTTGAGTCGACTCAAAAATCACCCTGGGAATACCGAATGATGCAGTATTGATTACCGTACCTTGAGGTTTTGGATCTGCGATTTGAGCTGGCTGCCCTCGTTGGACGTCACGGAGCACGCGATCACGGGCCGCGACACGCCGCACGCGCGCCCCAGAGCCTCCCGCGACGGCACGAACACGTACGGCACGTTCTGCATCGCAGAGGAAGCGGGAGGGCGCGGGGCGTGGGGTAGAGGCGTCGGGTAAGGGTGGAGAGGAGGGGGGGGAAGGGGGTGGAGGGGGAGGGGGGAGGATGGGAGAGGGAGGTAGCAAGAAGCAGCACCAAAAAACAAATCAGACATGAAGACGAGACAGGCGCGAGAAGCGCGAGAAGCGCGACAAACGCAAGAGACGCACCTTGTCCTCGGCGAGCAGCGGCAGGTGCAGCAGAATCTCGAGGGGCTCCGCGTCGGCCGCCATGACGACGAACTCCGAAATGCCGCGGTTCAGCGTCTTGGTCGCTGCGCGCGCGGGGAAAGACGGGAAGAGCGAGATACGTAAAACCCGGGGACACGTGAAGACGGTGGGAGGGGAAGGTGGGGGAACGGGAGCGGGGAGGGCGAAGGAGGGGGAGAGAGGGGGGAGGTGGGAGGAGAGGGGGGTAGAGGAACGGACAGATGGCAACCCGGCGCTGATCACTCTAAGCGCACAGATGCTAGAAACGTAAAGCCTTGAAGGCTTTAAACCCTTGGAGACGCATGTCCTACGACCAGCATAGACGGGTGCAGCTCTGCACCTGAGGAGGAGACGAAGGGGGGTCATGTCACCGAACTCACCTTCATTCGCTCCCTTGCGAAGCTGCTTGTAGTTAGAAGCCTGCTGTACAATATCGAGGATGGTGATGGTCAGCTGCGCATCAGCCAAAGGGTAAGCCTTCGGATTCACAGCCTCAGAGCCCTGCGAAAAGAACAGGACGAAGACGGTAAGGCCGCAGAGAAAAAACCCACCAATGATTGTTGCTTTGTCCTTAGGCCTATGTTTTGAGAACACGAGCAAAACATGTGAAGATCGAGGCATTTCGAACTGTACAGGACTGTAAAACGTAAGAACGATAAGAGGACGAAGAGGCTACTCACCATGGCTAATCCCTGGCCGTGACCCGGGGAAACTAGGTTCAAATGGTGGCGGGAACTAAAGACCAGAAACTCGGGTAACACCTAAGGCTTTGGCGAGGCGAGAGGCCGAAGTACTGAAGAGGTTTCGGTGGGGAATAGAAATGGCAATTGGCAATTGGGGAGAGCTTCGAGAAAGCAAAATCGGCCCCACTATCGAAATGCTGACTATATCGAAGGGAGTCTTGTTGAATTCGTAGAATTTCCTGTGTAGCTATTTGACCAGTTTAATCTATGCGTGTCTATTTCTTGCGAAGTGTAGCGTAACATTCAGGCGGTTGCGAACGCCTGGCAGCCTGACTTGGAGCAATGAAACCAAGCTGGATTCGCCGGGCCGCTCTGACAACAAACGGCCACTGCTGGCAAGCTTCCTGGGGGTTATCCCATTTCCAAACCTCACTCCCGCCACTCGCCGTTCGTCTTCCCAACCAAAAGACACCACCGGACAGCTACGGAAAGTATACCGTACCGAACCCCCCTGTGCCTGGGCAGGTCAGGCACAATTATGCTCCCTGGTGTACCAAGCCTGCGGAGGTTCGGGTTCCGGTGACATGATGAGCCTGTCGAACCTGTACACACCCACACCTCCAAGTTCTCTCCCCCAGTTGACCAACCTAAAGAACTCCAAGCACAGACCATGAAGTCTAGTTCCAGTCTTCATTTTTACGAGTCCTAGACCAGATGATCTTGCAGGAACGTATGTCATCATTCCATCAGGAGCCTCGCCACTCTTTATTATCGATGATATCAGAGCGTTTGATGGTTTGGAAGACCCAAACTGGAAGATAAGAACCATTGTATCAGCTTCTGCCAATTTTGGCCGTGGCGTTTTCCCAGTCTGAAGCACGATGCTGTTTGCCTCGTCGAAATGGTGGAATCCCATGCTAGTTTACTCACCTCTCTGGTCTTTCTAGTTAGACAAGCTATTTATTAGCCTTCTCTGTAGTTCTGGCATGTTCGCTGCCTCTTTACATCAACAACATACCCCATACATCAGCAGCAGCAGTCATGGTCGCTCCTTCGTCAGTCCTCAGTCTGAAAATGATTCGCAACGCGACATGGGCCAGGCAGAAGCAGGACGAGCCGTCGCCAACCCCGTCTGCTCGCCCGGAACGCATGCTGTACGCCTCTTTGCTACCCTTACTCTTGAGATGCCTCTAAGTTCTACCTCCAGTCATAGTTTCAAGACTCTGTGAACTTCCCCGCCTCTCTTACTGTGAACGCGCGTCGTGATCCCGGAATTTGTCCTGACGTTTGATCGCTCGTACCGCTTTCGACAATTCGCGTTCTGCTTCCCCGAACTTTTCGAAAGCCAGTTAGATACCAGCCTTGACCATTCGCGTTCTGTTTGTTTTTCTTTTCTTTTCTTTTCGGAAGCCAGAAAGGTACCAGCCGATACTAGAAATTCCATTGTCCAGCTTTTCCTGTGTGCTCTAAGTGCATGACCTGAAGTTTTGTGTTGTATTAGTCAGCGCGTACTGCAACCACAGAAATGACAGATTTTTGAGTCGACTCAGAAGCCACCAGATGGGACGTCTTATGTTGCATTCTGGTCGCCTGAACTCATTTGCCGTGCATAAGTCGGCAAGCTTAGAAGCTGAGTCATTGTGATCGGCATGTGCAAAGGCCCGTGTGAGCGCGTGTGTGCGTTCGAGCATTCGAGCATGCTTTTCGCCTACACACGCGCCACACCGCGGGTTTGTCACGGATGTGTGTGCTTCTTCATGCTGCTGCTCATGGTGTGATGGCACGATGGTATGATGGTCTGATGGCACAATGGTATGATGGGACGATGGTATGACGATATGATGGTATGGTGCGATGCTGTTGCTCTGCCATGCATCAGGGACATGTACGGGTTCGCGGTGCAGCCACAGTACGTGGACGTCTACAAGGCCTACGTTCCCGTCTACCATGTGAGTTGCCCCTGCGCTGTTCGTCTGTCCTCGTCTACAGAGCTGTGTCCCCATGCGGCGTAGGCATGCATCCCGTCATCCCTGTGCTTCTGTCCGTCGTCCCTCCCCTCCCGCTCCTCCCAAACTCCCACACCCACAGCACAACTTCCCGCACCCCTTATTCCACTCACCACTCGCCAGGACGAGGAGACAGAGTGGTCGGAGCAGTGGTACTCGTTCCTCCGCGCGCGCGACCTTCCCTTCCACACCGTCCTTGTGCTTGTGCCCATCATCCCCACCATCCCGCTCTTTCCCAACACCCTATACCCACCCTCACTTCCCCCCCAAACCCACCCCCCTCCTTCTCTCCCCCACCCCTTCTCTGCCGTTCCAGGGCGAGGAGACAGAGCGGTCGGAGCGGTGGGACTCGTTCCTGGGCGCGCGCGACCTGCCCTTCCTTCCGCCCTCCCCTGCGCCGACGCCTGCGCTTGCAGCAGAAGCGCCTTCTGGCGAAGGCGCGGAAGAGGGGGGCGGAGAGGGGAGGTTTCGCGCAGTGTTTAGGGAGGAGCTGTGGGCCGTTGAGCGCGTTCTGAGGGGTGCTGCTGATGCACGCGCGGGGAACGCAGGGAGTTCGGGGGACGGGGGGAGGAGTGAAAGGGATTCTGGAGGAGAGAGAGGAGGAAAGCGAATAGGAGAGGGCAGCGGGGAGGGGAGCGGAGCAGGCAGTGGAGAGACGGGAGGAGAGGAGCGAGGAGGAGGAGGGGGAGAGGGAGGAGGAGGAGGAGGGGGAGAAGGCAAGGGAGGGGAGAGCGGAGCAGGCAAGGGAGTGGGTGGGAGTGTGGCGACAGAGGAGGCATGGAGAGCGGAGCTGACGTCCCTAGTGATGGGGGGCATTCCCATGAACATGCGGGGCGAGGTGTGGCAGATCTTCGTGGGGAGTGCAGGGAGGAGGCAGGCGGGCGTGTATGAGGCGCTGCTGAGGGATACTGGCAGGGAGGAGGAGCACGGGCCTAACAGCAGTTTGGCGGAGATCACAGCAAGGATCCATGAGAGGGACGCTGAGGTCGCATGCACTGTGCAGATTGAAAAGGTGTGTAGGCCTCTGCCGTCGTGGTCACCTCTGCTCTGAAGGTCACTCTCTGTGTGCTCTCAAGTCTGCCCCGTGCTGCTCCTACTCCTCTGCAATGCATCCAACCCCCATGACCCAACCCGCACCCCCTTAGGACCTGCCGCGCACCTTCCCCGGGCACCCTGCGCTGGACGCCAAGGGGAGGGACGCGCTGAGGCGGCTGCTGGTGGCGTACTCGCGGCGCAACCGCGCGCTGGGGTACTGCCAGGGCATGAACTTTCTCGCCGGGCTGCTGCTGCTGCTCATGCCTGAAGAGAATGCCTTCTGGTGAGGCTGGGTGGGGTGTAGAGGTGTGTGAGGTGAGGAGGTGTGGAGGGGAAACCGCGCTCTGGGGTACTGCCAGGGGATGAACTTCCTGGCGGGGCTGCTGCTGCTGCTCATGCCCGAGGAAAACGCCTTTTGGTGGGTGGCACCACACCACTAGGGGAGAGTGGCAATCTTGGTAAACTTGCAGTGGGTTTGAAACACGCTCCCTGATAGGCCCCACCTACTCTCTCAGCTTTACTTGCGGTCCATAGTTGACCTGATAGTTGAAACACGCTCCCTGTAAATCAGCGTTGAAACCCAACTTGCCCTGAGAATTTCTAGTTGACTCAATACTTGAATGAGCTTTTCTACCCTCTGCTCAACTTACCCCATGCCCCACCTCCCGTCTCCACCCACACCTGCCATGCTTATCGTGTCAACACCAACCTCCCCTCCCACACCATGTGTCAGGACGGTGACGGCCATAGTGGACGAGCTGTTCCGAGGGTACTACGAGTTTTGAGTCGACTCATGATCTGTTTCTTCCACCGCTCGCCCACACCTGCCATGCCCATCGTGTCCAACCCCTCACTCCCCCTCACCCTCATGTGTCAGGACGGTGACGGCCATAGTGGACGAGCTGTTCCGAGGGTACTACGAGTTTTGAGTCGACTCATGATCTGTTTCTTCCACCGCTCGCCCACACCTGCCATGCCCATCGTGTCCAACCCCTCACTCCCCCTCACCCTCATGTGTCAGGACGCTGACGGCCATAGTGGACGAGCTGTTCCGAGGGTACTACTCCGACGAGATGGTTGAAGCTCAGGTGGGAAGGGGGACGGTTAGTGAAGAGAGAGGTGGGATGGGAGACAGGTGAGAGGTGACGAAGACAGGTGAAAGATGGGGAACAGGTGGGATGGGATGGTGGGTAGGCAGGCACAGGTGCATGGGGCGGTGTGGGTCAAAGTGATGGCAGAGCAACAGAGGCAGAGCTGGTCAAAAGGCACTGCTTGACGCTGTTGCTGTTGACTACAGGCATCCCTCCTTTTGAGTTCTCAAGAAAACCCTGCAGCATCATGGAGTTAAATACCCTCGGTTTGTTACAGCATGGAAGTTACCTAGCAAAATTTGTACTAGGTTACTGCTTGACGCTGTTGCTGTTGACTTCAGGCATCCCTCCTTTTGAGTTGGCTCAAAAGCCAATCAACTCTCTTTTGGCACCATGCCGTGCCATGCCGTGCCTCTTTGCCTGGTCCCTGCCATGCCAAATTCCCTGTCTCTCCGTGTTCACGCCCAGCCCTGTCCGCCCGCATTCTCTCCCCTCCCACCAGGGGCTCGTTTGAGCTCGTGCTTGATTTTGAGGCACCTCAAGAGTCGTCGCTTTGTCTCGCCCTGTCCACTGTCCCTCCTCATTCCCTCGTTCCCCCACCAGGTGGACCAGCTCGTGTTCGAGGACCTTGTTCGCCAAAACTTCCCCAGACTCGGTGAGTGGCGTGGTGCCAACCTGTTAGGTTGGTAGGGTAGTTGTCAACACTTGGCTCGGTGAGTGGTGCCAACCTGCCAGGCAGGCAGGCTAGTTTAAGCACTCCAAGTGTTCACATCCCAACTTTTTTTTTTTTTTTTTTTTTTTTTTTTCTGTGGTCTGCTGACGACATGCACTTGTGCCTTTTCCGTGCACTTTCATCCCTCACACGCTTCTCGCTCACCCCATGCAGCGGAGCACATGGACACAATGGGAGTGCAGATCTCATGGATCACGGGGCCATGGTTCCTCTCTGTTTTCGTCAACGTGTTGCCCTGGGAGAGCGGTGAGAGCACTGCTTTGTTGTCTGGCAAGGACTGGCAGTGAGAGCGGTGAGAGCACTGCTTTGTTGTCTGGCAAGGACTGGCAGGGAGAGCGGTGAGAGCACTGCTTTGTTGTCTGGCAAGGACTGGCAGGGAGAGCGGTGAGAGCACTGCTTTGTTGTCTGGCAAGGACTGGCAGGGAGAGCGGTGAGAGCACTGCTTTGTTGTCTGGCAAGGACTGGCAGGGAGAGCGGTGAGAGCACTGCTTTGTTGTCTGGCCCTCTTCATTCTTTTTACCTTGTATTGTTCAACTCTTCTCTCTTATCTCTCTGCACTCTCTTTGTCTCTCTTCAAGCCTATCTAGTCTTTCCCTTCCCACATGTGGGAAGATTTTGTGACAGCTTGCTCTTGCTTCCTCTCTCTCTGTGTTCAACACCTCTTCCACTTGCCATTCAACCGCAGTGCTGCGAGTGTGGGACGTCATTCTCTACGAGCGCAATCGCAGCATGCTCTTCCGCACATGCCTCGCCCTCCTCGACATGCACTGTACGTGGTGTGATGTGCTGTGCGGTGCTGTGCTGTGCTGTGCTGTGCTGTGCTGTGCTGTGCTGTGCTGTTGCTGTGCGGTGCTGTGCTGTGCTGTGCTGTGCTGTGCTGTGCTGTGCGGTGCTGTGCTGTGCTGTGCTGTGCTGTGCTGTGCGGTGCTGTGCTGTGCTGTGCTGTGCTGTGCGGTGCTGTGTGGTGCTGTAGATGGTGCGTGCCTTACTCCTTTCCTTCCCGGTCCTCCTCTACCTGCCCTTCCTGTTTCTTTTGTTAACTTCCCCTCCTTTCCGCGCGTACCTCTAACCCTGCGATGCCTTTCCGCCTACTCATACCTTCCCTCTCTCCAGCCACTCTGCTGCTGTCATGTCAATGCAAGAGACGGGGGACATGACGTCAGTGTTGGAGCACATGGCATGGCAGCAAATACCTTTCACCCTTCCGCTGTATTGCTACCAGGCGCCTATCCCCAGACCTGCCCATCCCCGCCATACAACCCCCCCAGCCGCGCTGCTGCTGTCAATGCAGGAGGCAGGAGACATGATGTCTGTGCTGCCTTCTTTGCCAGCAAACTGGTCTATTGCCAGGCCAGGCGTCTAATTCATTACCCCGCCCACCTGTCCCTCCTACCTTGTCTCCAGCCACTCTGCTGCTATCAATGCAGGAGACGGGGGACATGATGTCAGCCCTACAGTCCATGGCAGCATCCACCTTTGACAGCACGCAGCTCGTGCTCTCCGCATGTGTGGGCTACATGGATGTCAGTGAAGCCATGCTCGAGGTGAGACGAGCGTGCTGTTGGTACTTGTGCTGCTTCTCCTGCTCCTCCTCCTGCTCCTGCTCCTGCTCCTGCTCCTGCTCCTGCTCCTGCTCCTGCTCCTGCTCCTGCTCCTCCTCCTGCTCCTGCTCCTGCTCCTCCTCCTGCTCCTCCTCCTGCTCCTGCTCCTGCTCCTCCTCCTGCTCCTCCTCCTGCTCCTGCTCCTGCTCCTCCTCCTGCTCCTCCTCCTGCTCCTGCTCCTGCTCCTGCTCCTGCTCCTGCTCCTGCTCCTGCTCCTGCTCCTGCTCCTCTCCTGCTCCTGCTCCTGCTCCTGCTCCTGCTCCTGCTCCTGCTCCTGCTCCTGCTCCTGCTCCTGCTCCTGCTCCTGCTCCTGCTCCTGCTCCTGCTCCTGCTCCTGCTCCTGCTCCTGCTCCTGCTCCTGCTCCTGCTCCTGCTCCTCCTCCTGCTCCTCCTCCTGCTCCTGCTCCTGCTCCTCCTCCTGCTCCTCCTCCTGCTCCTGCTCCTGCTCCTCCTCCTCCTCCTGCTCCTGCTCCTGCTCCTCCTCCTGCTCCTCCTCCTGCTCCTCCTCCTGCTCCTCCTCCTGCTCCTCCTCCTGCTCCTCCTCCTGCTCCTCCTCCTGCTCCTCCTCCTGCTCCTCCTCCTGCTCCTGCTCCTGCTCCTCCTCCTGCTCCTGCTCCTGCTCCTCCTCCTGCTCCTCCTCCTGCTCCTCCTCCTGCTCCTCCTCCTGCTCCTCCTCCTGCTCCTCCTCCTGCTCCTCCTCCTGCTCCTGCTCCTGCTCCTGCTCCTCCTCCTGCTCCTCCTCCTGCTCCTGCTCCTGCTCCTGCTCCTGCTCCTCCTCCTGCTCCTGCTCCTGCTCCTCCTCCTGCTCCTCCTCCTGCTCCTCCTCCTGCTCCTCCTCCTGCTCCTCCTCCTGCTCCTGCTCCTGCTCCTCCTCCTGCTCCTCCTCCTGCTCCTCCTCCTGCTCCTCCTCCTGCTCCTCCTCCTGCTCCTCCTCCTGCTCCTCCTCCTGCTCCTCCTGCTCCTCCTCCTGCTCCTCCTCCTGCTCCTCCTCCTGCTCCTCCTCCTGCTCCTCCTCCTGCTCCTCCTCCTGCTCCTCCTCCTGCTCCTCCTCCTGCTCCTCCTCCTGCTCCTCCTCCTGCTCCTCCTCCTGCTCCTCCTCCTGCTCCTCCTCCTTCTCCTCCTCCTGCTCCTGCTCCTGCTCCTGCCCCTGCCCCTATGGTTGCTTGTGCTCGTGCTTGTGCTCGTGCTGTATCCATGTGTGGGCTGCATGGACGTCAACGAGGCCATGCTCGAGGTGAGACGGGCTGGTGGTGCTGCTGTTGCTTGTGCGCGTGCATGTGCTGCTGTTGTTGCTTGTGCGCGTGCATGTGCTGCTGTTGTTGCTTGTGCGCGTGCATTTGCTGCTGCTGTCCGCATGTGTGGGTGGAGTGGAGTGGACTGCATGGACGTCAACGAGGCCATGCTCGAGGTGACTCGCGTTAGTGCTGCTGCTGCTGCTGTTGTTGGTGGTGGTGCAATGGTGCGTACTTCTCCTCTCCCTAATCCTGCCACTCGCCACTTCCGGGGCCCTGCGCACCAAGCACCGCCCCACCACAATGCATCGAGAGGATGAGAGCCGGGAGGTGCTAAAGCGCTGCTTTCATTGGATGATGTCTGTGACCCTCTAACCACTTCGCCTTCCACCCTCCCCTCTCAACTCCTCTCAACTCCTCTCAACTCCTCTCAACTCCTCTCAACTCCTCTCCTCTCCTCTCCTCTCCTCTCCTCTCCTCTCCTCTCCTCTCCTCTCCTCTCCTCTCAACTCCTCTCCTCTCCTCTCAACTCCTCTCCTCTCCTCTCAACTCCTCTCCTCTCCTCTCAACTCCTCTCCTCTCCTCTCAACTCCTCTCCTCTCCTCTCAACTCCTCTCCTCTCCTCTCAACTCCTCTCCTCTCCTCTCAACTCCTCTCCTCTCAACTCCTCTCCTCACAACTCCTCTCCTCTCAACTCCTCTCCTCTCAACTCCTCTCCTTACCTCTCCTTTCCTCTCCTTTCCTCTCCTCTCCTCTCCTCTCCTCTCAACTCCTCTCCTCTCCTCTCCTCTCCTATCCTATCCTCTCCTCTCCTCTCCTCTCCCCTCCCATCCTCTTCCTCCTTCCCCCATATCTGCGCACGAAGCACCGCCCAACGAGAATCCATCGGGTGGACGAGTTGAGGGAGACGCTGAAGTGCTGCCTTGGAGTCAAACGGCCTTCCATCCCTTCCCCTCTCCCCACACCCCTGCCCCCACTCTTCCTTCCCTTAGAATCTGCGCACCACCTCTTCCTTCCCCTCCGGACCTGCGCACAAAGCACCGCCCCACGATAATGCGCCGAGTAGACAAGCACAGGGAGGTGGTCAAGCGCTGCCTAATAAGTCTTCCATCCCCTCCCCCCAACTTAGGACCTGCGCACAAAGCACCGCCCTACGATAATGCATCGGGTGGACGAGCAAAGGCAGGGGCCCAAGCGCTGCCGCAGCACCCGCACCGCCACTAAGAAATGCATCCCACATTTCTTCCCCACCATGCCCCCCTTCAGGACCTCCGCACCAAGCATCGTCCCACAATAATGCACCGAGTAGACGAGAGGAGGGAGGTGCTCAAGCGCTGCCGCAACACACGCACCGCCAAGATCCACGCGGAGGCCCTGGCCGTTCTGCAGAGGCTCGCACCGCACAGCACCGCGCTCGGCTCCCCTCTCGGCCCGTCCTCCTCCCACGCCTCCCCGCTGTCTATCCCTTCATCGTTTGACGACTCAGTGCTGCCCTCCCCCTCGCCTGCTGCTAGAATGGGGCGATTGCGGGCCTTTGGGGATGAAGGGGAGAGGAGAAAGGAGAAGAGGGAGAAGAAGGGGAGGAAGGAGGGAAGAGCAGGAGGCAAGGAGGAAGGGAGAAGGGCAGGGGGAGGCGCAGGGGGGAGGGTAAGCAGTGCTGGTACTGAGAGTGCTACTAACGAGAACGGAGATGGTGACACTAGTGGGGGGGATTGGGGGACAAGAGGAGACGTGTCCCCATCCTCCTCTGCCTTCTCCTCCCCATCCTTCACTCCTCCAGACTCCCCCCTTGCAAGCTTCAAGCTGTCCAATAACCGTCCCCCACCCGTCTCCTTCCCCCCACACACTCTCCTGCATCCCCTCCCTCCTCCCCTCCCTCTCACTCGCTCCTCCTCCCTCTCTCGCCTCTCCCCACCTGCTGCTCCCTCTTTCCTCATCTGCCCTGTGCAACCGCTGCAGTTCCCCTCACACGCCCCTGCCTACCCTAACGAAACAACTGCAGCTGGTACCGAACCTGGCGCCGAACCGGCAGCATCCGGTTCGGCAGAGACCTGGACTCAGCTGGTCCTCCCAGCCTCGGTGGTCGAGGCTCTTGATTCAATGCTGGGAGTAGGAGAGACGGAGGTGGGGAGAGAGAGGGGGAGGGACAGGGGAAGGGAGAGTGAAGGGACAGCAGCAGATGGTGAGAGAGACACTGAAATGGACCCGTGGGGTAGTGCCAGGTGGCAGGAGCTCACTGGTCCGCCTCGCCTACATGGTCATGCTCATGGGTCGGTTTCAGCATCAGCGTCAAAAGCTGCAGTGAGGCGAGCCGGAGGAGGAGCAGGGAGAGGGGTGGGTGAGTCTGTGGGAGGTGGGACGGCAGCGGCTGTTGCTGCAGCAGCACTGGCGTCGGTGTCAGAAGGGAGAGAGACGGATGGAAGAAACGCGTCTGTGTCTTCCACTGCTGCTGCTGCAGCTGCTGCTGCAGCTGCTGCTGCTGCTTCTGCTACTGCTGGTACCTCTGAAACGGCTGCCAGCAGTTACCAGCAGCGGATGAAGCGGTCTCCTGAGCTGCTGCTGCGAAGCGGGTCCTTTGCCCCTGGCAGCAGCAGCAGCAGCCGCATGAACCCGGTTCCATCCCTTGCGCTGGATGCGAGAGATGAGAGCTCGAATGCTGCCGCCACCGCCCCTGCAGATTCTGCTGAAGCTCCCACCACCACTGCTGCTAGTGTCGCTGCTGCTGTCAGTGATGTGAGTGCAAGCAGCTCTGCCACCACACGCAGCAAGAGCAAGAGCAAGAGTAAGAGTAAGGGGTCGTCCCAGATAGAGTCAGATCTCTCCCCCACCTTCTCGCCCCCCTCCTCCCCCTCCTCCCCCCCCTCATCCGACTTCTCCCCTCCGTCCCCCGGTTCTCCCTCAGTTGCTTTGGAGGGGGATGGGTTGTTTCAGGACGGTGAGGGTACAGGGAAGGAGAAAGGGAGGAGGGATGAGAGGAGTGGTGGGAAGGACAAGGGAGAGAAGGAGCGGGAGGGCAAGAGGGAGAAGGTGCGGGAGAAGAGGCGAGAGGGGGAGGGGAGCAGGAAGGAGAAGGGGAGAGCGAAGGAGGAAATGGGTGGTGATTTGAAGGGAGGTCGCGGTGCTGGCGGTTTGGCGTCAGACTCGTTGCAGTCACATTTCCGACAGTCACATTCACTTTCTGGGCATCAGCCCAGTGCATGGAGGGGCGCGGATAATAGCGGTAAAGGGGCGAGCAGTAAGGGGGATGTCAGGGAGTGGAGAGCGGCAGGAGGGAGAGGCAGGGGCATTCGGCCACACAGTTTAAACGAAAGACGTAGCCCTGGGCTGGGAATTGGCGTGGGCATGGGTGTGGGTGGTGGGGGGGAGGGATACCCCCCTCCGCACCACCATACGGACAGGGCAGGCCATGCTGCTCCAATTCGGGAGTCCAGAAGTGTTGCTGCTTCTCACAGTGGCTCTGGTGCTGGCGCGGGTGCTGGTGGCAATGCTGGTGTTGGTGGTGGTGGCAGCGGTGGTGGAGACGCAAGGGTGCATGGGAGGATAGGCAGGACGAGCAGTGCGGATGTGTGGAGAGTGGCAGAGAGGGGTGCTGGTGGTGGTGGGAGAGGAGGAGGGGGTGGAGAGGAGCAGGAGGAACGGAGGGATGGGGAGGGGTTGGGAGGGGTGGAAGGGGGGAAGGGGGGTGCGGAGAGCAGAGGAGGGCGGCATGTGCGGGTTGAAGTGGCGACGGAGTTGCAAGCACAGGTGAGTGGTTGTGAGAAAGCTGAAGAAAAAACACTCCCATTTCACTTCCGTTGTAGCACAGTTGTGCTGCACTGCACCTGTCCTTGAATCGTTCCTGCTTGTGACTCTTCCCCACCCTCCCACCTTCAAGGTGGCGTGGCTGAAGGAGCAGCTGGTGTTTGCACTGGAGGCAAGAGATGAAGCCATCCTCAGGTGCTCCTCATTGGTGCTCCTCAGTGGTGCTGCAACACTCTTCAACTCGTCCCTGCTCGTGACTGCTGCACCCCCACCCCCGTCAACCCACCCACCCACCCTCCCACTCACCAGGTGGCGTGGCTGAAGGAGCAGCTGGTGTTTGCATTGGAGGCGAGAGATGAAGCCATTCTCAGGTGAGGCCGTTTGGAGGCGAGGCACTTTCATACCCAAAGCCTCCGTGTGTCCTCTTTTCACCTAGCATGTCTCATGCTCCACGTGCACATGTCTCATGCTCCACGTGTACATGTCTCATGCTCCACGTGCACATGTCTCATGCTCCACGTGCACATGTCTCATGCTCCACGTGTACATGTCTCATGCTCCACGTGCACATGTCTCATGCTCCACGTGCACATGTCTCATGCTCCACGTGCACATGTCTCATGCTCCACGTGTACATGTCTCATGCTCCACGTGCACATGTCTCATGCTCCACGTGCACATGTCTCATGCTCCACGTGTACATGTCTCATGCTCCACGTGTACATGTCTCATGCTCCACGTGCACATGTCTCATGCTCCACGTGCACATGTCTCATGCTCCACGTGCACATGTCTCAAGTGGCCAGGTCATCCCATGCGCACCCCCCGTCATCCCATGCGCACCCCCCGTCATCCCATGCGCACCCCCCGACATCCCATACACTGTTCTTCTGAACCATGAGACGTTGTTCATTCTGACGCATACCCCATTCTGCCATGTGCACACCCCATCGCCACATCCATGCCATGCCATCCCATGCCATGCCATGCCATGTATGCAGAGCCGAGGCACTACAGGCAGCCATGGTGGAGATGGGGCAGTCCACCACCAACCAGGCCCTCGCTGCTAAGGTAAGCTTTGAGACGACTCAAAGCCCGCGTGTACGTAGACAACTTTTGAGACGTCGAAAAGTCATGCAGGGCGGAGGCACTGCAGGCAGCCATGGTGGAGATGGGGCAGTCCACCACCAACCAGGCTCTCGCTGCTAAGGTAGCCCCCAACCCAACCCCCCCTTTACAAGTCATCGTTGTTAAAGTAGCATTTACGCCCAAATGAGACCCATAGCACCACGAAGTAGCCCTCAAACGGAAACATGTGCTGCACGTGCTCTTTCTGATCTTTATAGCCCTTGTTCTCCTCCCCATGCCCATGTAGGGATGCAGAGGAGGGAGATGGCGCAGGGACGGTGGGGCTTCTATTGATTTTGTCCCTCTTCCCCCACCCTCGCTTCCCCCATCCCCTCGTTCCCCAACCCCTCTTTCCCCAACCCCACTTCCCTCACGCCCCCTTTCCCCGACCCTCCCTCCACCCCCTTTTCCCGCACGCCCTCTTCTCCGCCATCAGATTGATGAGCTGGAGAATGCACTGATTGTGGCCAGAAGGCAAATTGGCACACACAGGACAGGAGGGAGATCGCGCAGCAGCAGCGGTGTGTTTTGAGTCGACTCAAAGCGCAGCAGCAGCGGGCCATGGAGGCACAGCAGCGGGCCATGGACTTTTGAGTCGACTCAAAAGTCAACTCGCAGCAGCAGCGGGCCATGGAGGCACAGCAGGAGGCGTCCACTCGCTTGCTGCTGGAACAACAAGAGGAAGCAGCACGGGCACTTGGGGAGGTGGTGAGGAGCAAGGATGCGGAGATGGAGAGGGAGGTGGGGGCGCTGCTGGGCGCGCTGATATATGCTGCCTCTCTTCCCTCACTCCCCTTCCTCTTCCCTTCAGATTGATGAGCTGGAGAATGCACTGATTGTCGCCCGTAAGCAGATAGAGGCGCACAGGAGGGAGATCGCGCAGCAGCTGCGGGCAATGGAGGCACAGCAGGAGACGTCCACGCGCTTGCTGCTGGAGCAGCAGGAGGAGGCGGCACGGGCACTGGGGGAGGCGGTGAGGAGCAAGGACGCGGAGATGGAGAGTGAGGTGAGAGCGCTACTGGGGGCACCTTCATATACGCATTGCCTCTATTTTCCTTCTCCCCTCCTTCGCTCCCCCACCCCCCTCAGATTGACGAGCTGGAGAATGCACTGATTGTGGCTCGGAAACAGATAGAGGCGCACAGGAGGGAGATCGCGCAGCAGCAAAGGGCAATGGAGGCCCAACAGGAGGCGTCTACACGTTTGCTTCTGGAACAACAAGAGGAAGCAGCGCGAGCACTGGTGGAGGCAGTGAGGGGGAAGGATGCGGAGATGGAGAGGGAGGTGGGGGCGCTGCTGGGCGCGCTGAGGGGCAAGGAGGAGCGCATGCGGGGCGAGATTGAGGAGTTGCAGGACAAGGTGGAGGAGAGAGACGCGGAGATTGGGCGGCTTGCCAGGGTGAGTGGGTGGGTGATGGGTCGTAAGGCTATGAGCTGGTATTGCAGGCAAGGAGGAGCGCATGAGAGGGGAGATTGAGGAGTTGCAGGACAAGGTGGAGGAGAGGGATGCGGAGATTGGGCGGCTTGCTAGGGTGCGTGGGTGGGCGGTGGGTTGTAAGTCTATGAGCAAGGAGGTTGAGATGGTATTGCAGGCAAGGAGGAGCGCATGCGGGGCGAGATTGAGGAGTTCCAGGACAAGGTGGAGGAGAGAGATGCGGAAATAGGGCGGCTTGCTAGGGTGAGTGGTTGTTTCTGAGGCGCCATTCCCTCCGTCTCGTATCTCCCTCCTCTTCCCCTCCCCCACTACTTCTGGGGCGCCTTAACGATGTTCCTTTCGCCCTCACACTTTTCAACCAGAGGCTGGAGCAAGCAGTAAAGGACATGGAGAACATAATCGCAACCAACTCACACCAAGCCCCTCTATATCACTCAATTCCCCCCCCCTTCCCCCTCTCACCACGTGGATGGAGCAGAGGTTGGAGCGGGCAGCCAAGGATATGGAGGACATTATAGCGGCCAACGCGCAGCAGGTGGAGACTCAGAAGAACGTCATTGAGATGCTCGCGGTACGTTGTGGGAGTGTGGAGTGGTGGAGTGCGGTGCTGTCCGGAGCGGTGCTGTGCTCTGTCGTGTGGTTCGGTCCGGTGTGGCGATGATTTTTTCGGATGCTGTAATACTCGTGAATGGTCATGGGGTGAGCCATGATGTGTGGTGCAGAGCGGTACGTTATGGTGCTGCGTGTGATACAGTGGCAGGGGAGCAGTCGAGCCGCGAGGTGCAAGGTAACAGCCATGCCGCAGAGGGCACTGGCAGGGCAGAGGGCGCTGGCAGGGCAGAGGGCGCTGGCAGCATTTTCTTGCACTTCAAATTCCGGGTGTTGTCTTGCGAACTCGTTTAGGTGCCTCATCAATCGTCTACCCCTCCCTCCCTGTCCATGGCACACAGGAGAGCAGTCGCGACGCAAGGCAGAGGTTGGCAGCCGTTGGGCAGGGGTATGAAGAAGTGTTTTGAGACGTCCCAAAACACTTCTTCAGGCAGAGGCTGGCAGCCGTTGAGCAGGGGGCACTGGCAGCACTGGCTGGCAGGCAACTCAGAGGTGATCTCATCTCTCTCAAATCTCTCAAGGCACCTCATTGGTGTTTTCCCCTTCCCCGCCAGTGGCATGCAGGACAGCAGTCGGGACGCGGGGCAGAAGCTGGCTGGCAGCCATGGAGGAGAGGGCGCTTGCAGCATTGCTCAGGCAAATCGGAGGTGGTGTCATCTCATCTCTCTCGAATCTGTCAAGGCACCTCATTAGTGGTCTCCTCCCTTCCTTTGTCTCGCACAGGAGAGTAGTCGGGACGCGAGGCAGAAGCTGGCAGCCATGGAAGAGAGGGCTGTGGCGGCAGAGAGGTCAGTCAGTGGGGCACGTAGGGATGATGTAGACTTTCAAATGGGTGAGATGATGCAAACTATGAGGGAACTCAATCACCACTGGGCATGCAGTGCTGTTGCAAGCGGAGAGGTGGACTCCAATGTGCGAGGCAGAAGCTGGCAGGCATGGAGGAGAGGGCGGTGGCAGCAGAGAGGTCAGTGAGTTAGTCAGCAGAACCCGGGCATGCAGATGTCCCAAATGAATGACATGAGATGACTTGTGAGGCGACTTTTGAGTCGACTCAAAAGGTGACTTTTGAGTTTTGAGTCGACTCATTAGTCAGCAGAACCTGGGCATGCAGATGTCCCAAATGAGTGAGATGAGATGACTTGTGAGGCGCGTTAAAGAAACCGTTCGCTGTGACGAGCTGGTGCAGATTTGCAAGGATAACGTTTTTGAGGCGCCTCATTAGTTGTTGCGTGCGCTGTGCGGAGGCAAATCCCCAATCAGGAGGCTTTTGAGTCGACTCAAGAATCACCTTGTTGCATGCGCGGAGCCAGGTTACAAATCCAAATAGGAAATGGGTGCGATCACTTTCCCTCTTGCACTGCACCAAGCACCTTCCTCCTCCACTGCAGCACTCTTCCTGCGCTCCCCAACCTGCGTGGTCTCGCCACCCTGCCTGCTCTCCTCTCCATAATTGGCCTGCTCCTTCCCTCTCATGCTCATTTCCCAACTTCTCTCCATGCCGCAGAATGGTGGAAACCTTCATGGAAGCTTCCTCCTTGGAGGAGGTCCAATCGATGGTGGATGACATGCCAGCTGTCTCTCCCGGATCTCTTGACACGTCACCTTCTGTCTTCGCTGACGTCAGCATGAGAAGCTGCCAGACCAGCGTGACTAGCAGCAGTGTTGCCACGTCAGACGCTGAGCTGGAGAGAATGACAGCGGCGGCACTTGCGATTGGGAGCAAGGGTAACAGGCGGCAATACATTGGTAACCACCACCCTTCATCGTCGAATTATTTAATCGCACAGGGAGACTCGCACCAATCGGTGCAGCAGCAGGAGCAGCAGTACGGGAATCATCGGCCACGCACCGCTCCCGCTAATCGCCAACCGATAGCAGTCAGATCGCTTTTTGAAGGAATATCGGGAGCGTTCAGTTCTAGAATGGGGGGAGCTGTGCCAGGTGCAACATCCCTACCAAGGACTCAACCCTGACGAAAAGACTGGAACTGTGCAAGCAATGTGGAAGTATTTATGAGATGTTACGATTTTCTATTTTGCCTTCAACCTCCCTAATTTTTTTGTGGGCTACGGCTCGGAACTTCAGTCTTATCCCAATAACGCGGATGCTCCTCACGAGCCCCCGACTCTGTGTGCACTGAAGATGTTCTGCGCCGATTTGTTGCGCCATTCAGCGCTTTCACTTTCCCCCGACGCCCCATTCACCGCCAGCTTTCGCTGAATCTGGACCACCCTCGCAGGCTGCTGTACAAGAGTTTCGCTTGTTACCACTTTGAATATCGCCTACGCAGGCTGTTGTACACACACAAAAATTCGCCTGCGCGAAGATCGTGGAGACACTGCTTGCAGAAGGGGGGAAATCCAATTTCAGAAGGGTTGAGCTAGGCCCCACGTTTTCACGTTCTATCCGAGAAGAAAGGAATTCGGAGTTGCAGATTCTCGAGAGCCGGTCTATTGGGGAGATCCTCCTTCGCCTTGTTCGCACGCGCGCAGGACCTCTCTCGTCACTCTCACTCTACGTCTGCGCGCCACCGCCGCCGCCGCCCCGGCAATCGCTGCCATGGGCTTCTCGATCTGCGCCCGTCGCGTCGCTCTCTGCTGCCTCTTTCTCGTCGTCGCCGCGCCGTGTCTGCTGACGTCAGCGCAGTTCCCCATCCCCTCGCAGTACGACGGCTTGATCTACGGTGCTGACGTCAGCGAGCGGCAGCCGGTGCTTCTGGAGGCGTTCCTGGATCTGACGTGTCCGTCCTGCCAGAGCGCGTGGCCCGTGTTGCGCCACGTGGCGAAGTTCTACGGGACGAAGCAGCTCCGATTCGTCGTTCATCTTTTCTCCAACGCGTAAGCTGCGGTTGCCCCTCTTTGAGAATCCTCAAAAGCGACACAAGCCATCGCCCCCTTACTTCCCCTTCCCCAAGCTTCCGCCACCATTCCTCCGAGTGCGCTCGTTCCACACCCCCTCTTTCTCCCGCACCCGCGTGTGATGAGTCGATTTTTAAGTCGACTTAAAAATCTTCCCCACGCTTCCGCCACCATTCCTCTTCCACACCCCCTCTTTATCCCGCACCCCCTCACGCTCTCCCCTCTCCTCCCGCGCAGTTTCCACCACAACTCGTACTTCGCCTGGCAGGCCACCACCGTCGCCGCAATCAACGGCTCGCTCGAGCTCGTTCCCTTCAGCCCCCGTTCACTCTCTTCCCCACCGCCCCTCTCCCCCACTTCCTCTGCCCCTCTCCCAGTTTCCACCACAACTCCTACTTCGCCTCGCAGGCCACCAACGCCGTCGCAGCCATCAACGGCTCGCTCGCGTTCGATTGGATCGACGCCGTCTTCGACGAGCAGGACGACCTGTCGCTGAGCGCCACGTGGCAGAAGACGCCCGAGCAGGTCGCGGCGCAGCTGGCGCGGCTCGCGTCGGAGCGCCTCGGGATTGACGAGGAGAGATTCAAGGGGTCGTTTTTGGATGCGGAGGTTGAATGGCGCACTCGACTCGCGTTCAAGGTTTGTGGTTGGGAGTTCGGTTGAGTAAGTGAGTGGGTGAGTGAGTGAGAGATTGGTTGAGTGAGTGAGGGTGGCCGAGTGAGTGTGTCGTAGGGAGAATGGGGGAAGGAGGATGAAGAGGAGAGGGGGGGCGCGGTTGGTAATGGAAAAATGGGCGGAGTGGACTCCCCCTGGCACGAGTTGAAGCCTTGAGTCCTTTTCATTGTCACCCAATAGCCTTGCATTCATTCGCTTCACTATATGGGGAGATTATCAGGATAGTATGGGTGTGAATGTACTTTTGAAATTTCTCAAAGGGGCTTCACTAAATGGAAATACTATCGAGATGGTATGGGTGTGGATGTAGCAGACGCCATACCCCAATAGTGTGGGTGTGGAAATGTAGCACACTCCCGCTTGCGAGCAGACTTCAGGGTGTTTTTGAGAAGTCTCAAAAACACCCTGCAGCAGACGCCATACCCCGATAGTGTGGGTGTGGAAATGTTGCACACTCCCGCTCGCAAGCCGACTTCAAGGCGACTCATTTGGTGATCTGATTCGCAACACCCTCCCCCCTCCACCGCTGCAGGTGTTGACGAGCATTGGTGGGAACACCAACCTACCAACCTTCTTCTTCCAGTCGACTTGAAAAACTCCCCCACCCTCCTCTTCCTTATGTGGGCAGCACGGATGTTCCCGAGCAGTGGTGGGAACGCCAACCTATCTGGTGAACGGAGTGGCGGTGCCACTAGCTGCGGCTGAGTGGACCATCTACGACTGGCGTGCCCTCCTTGACCCACTCAAGGGCTCATCCGCTCACTCCCTCTCCCCTTCCCTCCCTCTTCCCCATCTCTTCCCCCTCGTTGGCAGTACGGGTGCTCGAGGGCAGTGGTGGGAACGCCAACTTACCTGGTGAACGGAGTGGCGGTGCCAATGGCTGCAGCCGAGTGGACCATCTACGACTGGCGCGCCCTCCTTGACCCCCTCGTGGCCCCATCCGTCCTGGATTCGCACTCTCGCTCCCCTCGGAAGCTGGCGCTCGAGTGATGCTAGTCCCACTCCCCTGGCTGGCACTGAACTGAAGCAGACACACTGTTTCTCGATCGCTCTTTTCACTCCCCAAGGAATTGTGCATGGGGGTCGGTGAATGGCTCGTTTTTTTCCAAGATTCAAAGAATTCGAGAGAAAGTCGAGGGGGTGTGATGGAATGGGCCGCAGAGGGCTGTGGGGAAACTTGGAGGGTTCTTCTCGTGTTGCGTCCCCGGGTATGTTGGTGGAATCTGTGGTGCAGTGTGGTATGCCATGACACCAACGCCGACCTGCTGTTCCACCTGTATCCTAATGCCTTTGTTTTACCGTATGCTGTCAACGTTGTTGCTAACAAAACAAACCCTTGCCTTCAAAGGACTGGCTGGTTACTGTAGTATTTGTCACTTCGAGGAAACAATTGTACCGGTACCAATATCATGCCTTGATGGTATTCTGCTCTGATGCAAACCATGAGAAATGGTGTCACATTGGGTCTGCCAGCACCAGACGTAGCAGGTTGGGTCGGTCCTGCCGAACCTTGGTGCCAGCTCCGTACGAGGCTCGGCAAGGGCGGCAGTCAGGCCAGGGAGTCCAGGTGTGGGTGATGGCAGCAAGGAGGGCTGCGCCTGTGGGGGTGACGAGTTCGCCCTTACACCCTGCAGCAAACGTTGGGATATTGGCCCTGTTGTGAGAGGGAAGGAGGAGAAGAAGATAGGAGGAAGGGAAAGAATTGATGGAAGGGAAAAGGGGGTCCAGGTGTGGGCGATGGCAGCAGGGAGAGCTGCGCCTGTGGGTGTGACGAGTTCACCCTAGAGGAGTGGGGATATTGGCCCTGTTGTGAGAGGGAGTGGGGAACGGTGTTCAGGAAACAGGAAAGGGGGTCCAGGTGTGGGTGATGGCAGCAGGGAGAGCCGCCCCTGATGGGGTGACGAGCTTGCCCTTACAGCCTGCAGCAAACGTTGGGATAGATGCTCTGTTGGGAACGTGGGAGGAGGAAAGAAGAGAGGAAGGAAGGGAAGAATACATGGAAGGGAAAAGGGGGTCCGGGTGTGGACGATGGCAGTGAGGAGAGGCACTTTTGTGGGGGTGACCTGTTCTCCCCTGCACGCTGCAGTGATCTGTTGAATAAATGATGCTTCGTTAGATGGCAAGTAGGCTTGCTGCATTCAGTGGGTTGACTCGGTTCACAGGGTCAACTCACCGGCACAGGATCTCAAGAGTGGCGGGGGCAGGGGAGGGCAGAGGGCCGTGAGCAGCGCCGCTGATGATTCCTCGTGCCATGGGGAGGGGCGAGGCTGCTATGTGCGATGGTGCGAGGTAGTCTATGGCTGCTGCTGCTGCCACCATGTCAACTATGCTGTCCACCGCGCCCACCTGTGGCAGGAGAACATAGGAACAGAGGGTTATGGTTGCATGAGGGCATGGGTGCATGTATGGCGTCAACTGTTGTCACTGCCACTATGTCAGTCCTGCTGCCGCCACCATGTCCACTATGCTGTCCACCGCGCCCACCTGCACATAGGGGGTATGGGTTATGTGGGTGCATGGGTTTACACAGACGTGTATGCGTGCATGGGTGAACATAAGGCATTCACTGCTGCTGCTGCCGCCACCATGTCCACTATGCTGTCCACTGCCCCCACCTGCAGCAAGAAAAGCATGAGAACACCGAGGCATAGGTGCATTTGTACAGGTGCATGATCATTTTATACATACATAACAACACCACATCACCATCACCATCACCTTATGGAAATACACGTCATCCACGGCCATGCCATGCACACACGCCTCCATGGATGCATGGGTGTAGATGTGCACGCCTCCATGGATGCATGGGTGTAGATGTGCACGCCTACATGGGTGCATGCCTCGATGTATGATCATATATACATGCAACACAACCATTAACATTACATCATCATCACCTCATGGAAGTGCACGTCATCCACGGCCATGCCATGCACACACGCCTCCGCCTCCGCCAGCAGCCGAAACGCCCGGCTGGCAATGTCCCTGGCGCCACGTGGCAGGCTGCTATTGGCCAGCAGATGGCGGATGGCCGCGTAGTCCCTGTAGGGCTGGTTCGCCCCGTCATCCACCGAGAAGCTGCCAGGAAGGTGCCGGAAAGAGGAAGAGGAAGGTGCGAGGAAAGTGGGAAGGAGTATGTGCAGACGTAGTGATAGGGATTGCGTATGAGAAGGTGACATCGACTAAGCAAGCCGAAGTTGACGTCTATTATGTATTAAGTTGACTCAAAGATCACGCACGGAGTATGAGGAGCTGACATCAAGCAAGTAAGGTGGTGCACACGGTACTGCCTTAATACATACCTACATACATCCAGTGCAAATGCACTCGTAGCTGTAAACAATGTGGCCGTACAACAGAAACGAAATTTGACACGAATGTCGAGATACGAGGAAAAAAAAAAAAAAAAAAGTCGGCTCTTACAGTGGTGGAGCAATAGCGGATCGTTGAGTGGCCTCCACCCTGCAGGTCACAGGAGACAGCCCCATCGCCCGCACTGCCCGGTTCTTCTACCACCGCTTCTGGCACTCCCAGACCCAGCAATGCCGCCCCTGGCATGATCCCTTGGGTCAATGCTACCATTACATAAAACAGCACTTACAGCGGAGCAGTGATAGCGGATCGTTGAGTGGCCTCCACCCTGCAGGTCACATGTGAAAGACCCATGGCCTCCACTGCCCCCTCCACCACTGTTGATGGCACGCCTAGGTCCAGCAGTGACGCGACTAGCATGTCCCCTGCCGCCCCTGCCACGTGTGCGTCTATGAACAGAAGCTTCCCCGCTCCTTCCCCGCGTTTCAGTGGGGGGTTCCGTGGGCACCACGTGGATGGGAGGAAGAGCGGTTGATGCGGTGAGGATGGGTGGGAGTGCGGTGAGGATGGGTGCGTTGGTGAGGGGTGGGTGTTGGAGGAGGTGGGAGGGATGGAGGATGGGGAGGAGGAGTTGGAGGGGTGGCTGTGGGTGTGACTGTGGCCAGGGGTATGGCTGTGGGCTCGTGAATGTGCCTGATGGTCATGGTCATGTGAATGGTTATGGGGATGTGAATGTGTGTCATGGTCATGGGCATGGGCATGGGAGTGGGCATGCGAATGCGAATGTGAATGTTTATGATGATCATGGTTCTCATGGTCATGGTCATGGTCATGGTCATGGTCATGGTCATGGTCATGTGAATGTGAATGTGAATGTGAATGTGTGTGATGGTCATGGTTATGTGAATGTGATTGTGTGCCATGCCCATGGTGATTATGTTGATCATGGATATGATTCTGGTCATGAATGTGACTATGAGCATGTGCGTGCTCATGACCATAAGCCCCGTCGTGGGTGTGACTATGCCGAATGGACAGTGCGCGTGAATCCGAGTCATCAACGTCCGCATTCTCTACTATCCCGCCGCCATGGAGTCTCTCCCCTTTGCCTTCCGCTTCCTCCTGAACTTGACTGTCATGTCCTCGATAATTCCCCTGCTTATGCCCCCTAACAAGCAATCGCTTATATTGAGTACCCTTCGTGTTGTTCCCATGCTTATTCCAGTCCAGGTAACAAATGCCTGGACGAACGGCGCGCTGCAAGCCACGATGCGTGCCGGGAATTATGAGATCGATTGCCACGAGATTCCTAGAAACGATCCTGGACCAGCTCGCGTCGCTAGCTAACCCCAACGACGTTCGCAACGACGGCGTATACATGCTCGCTGAGAGTGACGACCGGACCGCATGTGTCCGCGAATCAAGTACGACCGTTGCGTCACAATGACGCCAACACGGTATCGAGGTGAACACCATTTCGACCAATCGCAGAGTTGCGTGGACAATGCGAGTAATCTGCAGCTCAGAGACGTGACGGGCTGCTCACAGATCAGAGAACGGTATGCTCTCATTGCAGTCGTCTACTTGCGGTTATCGTGCAGACAATCTCGATGTTGGTGCCGTGTCATCCGCGATTCTATCGTGAAAGGTAAAAGCCACATCTTTCGTTGTGCATTGCAAATTCGGCAATATTGAGAAACTAAACCAATTGTTTATATCTTCTTTCAAATTGAAACATATAAAGTGTGCCTCCATTTTCAAACCAAACCCTTATCGATCACACAACCTGATGAACAGCTGCGAGGGAATTTGGACTAGCAAAATCTTTTGCTTGAACCTGTGTTCTGTGCCAGCCCAACGTCCACAGATTGTAAGAAACAACATCCACTATTTGATCCTTGAAAACAAATGCTCTATTCCCTTGCCCATTGCCCCGTGTCCCTCCCACACTTTACCCCGCCCTGCCACATGACAACCCTAACTCCATTCACATGTCGCCCACTAACCTTTATCCCAACATTTCTTCATTCCACCACTGTATTGCTCCTGTGGGCAATGGATCCAACCTCTAGGTTCTGGGGCGGGGAGGCGGCGGGCGCATGGCCCTGGCAGGGCAGCAGGAGGAGGTGCTGGGGGGGTTGGGGCCGGTCTTGAAGACGACGCACCGGCGTGCCTCGGGGTACGTGGGGTTGTTATCCCCGGGGTTGATGTTCAGCACGGTGCCGCCCTGTGGGATCTGGGCTGTCAGGATGGGCAGCCGTACCCACCTGTTCTGAAAGAAGGCCACCGCTTGCTGCACAGGGGAAAGACACGCACACCCAAAACGCAGAGGAACACGTGAGAAGCACATGGCACGAGGCGTGCAGAGATTTGCCATCCGAAGACAACCACTGCCATCCGTAGGAGATAAGCAGCAAAAAAATAGGTCAGGAATGAGTTCTTCTATACAGAAACATTCACGGGCAACCGTCGGAACTGCTTTCTCCCCACTATGTCATTGTTAGAAGAGCAAGCACCCCACCTGGCTGAAGGAGCGAACGAAGACCAGCGAGCTGTTGCCCTCGGAGGTGATGTAGAACTGGTTACCAGCGTCGCACGGGCCCGTGAGCGCAGTGGTGCAGAAGAAGGTCGCGATGCCCGTGCTGGAGATGGTTACTCCACTGCCCTCCTTCACCACCACTGGCGGGCTGATGGCAAAGTCACCTGCAGTAGCGTTGGGCGGTACGATGCTGGACCGGGATGCACGCACAGGGGGAGTGAGGAGGGGAGGAGAGGGGGGGGAGCAAAATTTTGAGTCAATATGGTGGCGATGCCGGTGCTGGATGGCGCTGCCTCCTTCTGACATGTGTTGGCTTTTGGTGAGATCCTTTCCAGTGACCTTGGGCGGCATGATACTGAAGAGAGGAGGGCGGTTGATTAGAATTCGCATTGAGTAAATAATCCTGCTGAACCCGCTGTTGATAAATTCCTGAAAGAAAATCAGTTTCTAGAAGAAGTGTAAACACGCAACGAACCACAGGTAGGGGCATCACATGAAAATCATTTTAATGCAAGCGGAAATATCAATTGTGCAAGCAGAAAACGAAGATAATTTTTCCAGCGCTCACTTGAAGGTGGGGATGGAGTCGCTGGAGCCTTCGAAGGCGAAGTCACAGCCATCGAGCGGCCCTCGGGGCCCCACCTGGCACTGCGCAGGGCAGGTCGGCTGCCCACCCTGCTGCAGCCCGCGTCTGCTAGCCAGAGCGGATGCTTGGGCGCCATTTGCGCTAGATGAGATGGATAGGAGCAGAGGAAGAAGGAATACGAAGAGGAGAGCCATGGTGGCGCGGATAGCCGTGAGGGCTATGCAGATCCTTCAAGGATTCGAGCCACGGGTGGGAAAGGATTTGCAAGAGATATCCAGGAAGCAAAGACGGGTTTAGGTGGGAAATGGCAGGCCTTTTCAGCAGAAGCAACAGGTTAGAATACAGAATAATCAGTTCGACGACGGAAGTAACGTTAGGCGGCACGCAATGGCGTGCTCTCCTGTCCCCGGTTGTGGCACAACTGGCGGCCATAGCTGCGGAATTTGGCGTGGGAAAGAGGTTCTCAGCATGGAACAAGTGTCGCCCAGCAGCTATTCCAGACTGGAAGCTTGGTTGGATTTTACAGGTGATAGTTTCCGAGTCGCACATTTGACATGCGAGCCGCATGCTGCTGGAACGAGGCAGACATCCATCACGCGAATCGTTTTCTGCATTATGTAGAAAACAGGACGTGATGAGAGAAAGCACAAACCGAAGCTACCTCTTTCTATAGCGCGTAAAGTTTCACAGCTTGTGGTCAACCACCATCGAAGTCCCCAGTTCCCTTCATTGTTCACCAGCAATCTCTGCTTTTCGTCTACACCTCAGAAACCATTCTACCAATTCTACTGGAACTAAAAGTTGTGCTGAATTAGAATTTTGTCATCGCTACTTTGATCGAGGACAATTTTCCCCACCTTCGTCTCTCACCTTCTCCTCACAGCCCCCCTCCCCTCCCTCCAAGCCTCCAACTCCCTCTGCTCGCTAACCCTAAAATCTCCTCTCCCACTTTCTCTTTCTCCTTTCCCGCGTAGTCTCGTCCCTTCTCTTCCTCCTCCCCACACGTCACCATGGTGAGCAATGCATAACTCGTTAGTGTGAATCGGTCGTGTCGCGCACCCCAGTTATTATGGCAAAGTGCCGTCAAGGATAGCTTGTGCTTCAGAATCGATGCTCGAGAGTGAAACGTCGACCTTCGCAGCATGTTGCTCGCTCCTCCTCTGATCGCAACCCGCGCTGACTGCTCTGACGTTGCCTAGCGATCGTAGCCTTTTCTGCAACTCTGCGTCTGTGTTCATATCAATCCGTGTCCTATCGGACTCATCCCGACTTCATTCGTCTCGTCCCAACTTTGTCCCATCGCAATCTCATTCGTATGTTCTCTTGTGCTACCGTTGTGCAGGTGAAGTACGCGAGGGAACCCGCCAACGCCACCAAATGTACGTTCCGGCTTAGCCTCTGGCCTGTAGACTCCACGGCATCGCATCACGTGTCCCTGCAACACATTGCTACCCCGAATCTTCGCGACTTAGGTCTAGTGGGCGATTGATCGGCGCCGTGCGTTTTTCATGTAGCCTTTCGTCGCCGTCTCCTTCGTTCGGCTAGATAAAGTGATTCTCAGAGCACGTTGTTTGATCGTGTCGATTGCGACCCCGGCCGGTTTTGGACAGATGGTCACTTAGTGCAAAGCTCAAGTAAGGCAAGTGGGCCGCTCGAGTCGAGCGCGCCGCGATTGGAGTCTCGGCACCGATTTAGAGTCGGCATGTCAAAGCACGACGCGCACTTTTCCTCGCGGGCAGCGGTCGGGTTCAGAAGTAGGCTAAAGCAAATCAACCAGGAATCTTGGAGGCGTCTTGGTGAAGGCAAACTAAGCCAGGCCAATCCATATAGACAGATTGTCTCAGGTAGCTGCTATTGCGCGGGATAGGTTGGTGTACGTTATAATTTGGTGTTAAGTACGACGCGTTCCTGCGTGGGTTCGCGATAGGAACGAATCTTTCCCATGTCATGATGCAAATATTGGGCGACCTTAGTCTTGAAGCCACATTCGGTTCGTCGTCGTCTCACGCCTCCCTTCCGCTCCCCCATTCTTCCCTCGCCCGTCCCCCTCTCTCCTCACTTCTTCCCTTCTCCTGCTCGTCTGCTCGTCTGTCTGCATTTTTGGCACCCCTCTGCGCCCCTCTGCCCCCCCCTGTTCGACTCTGGTTGCAGCATGCAAGGCGAGAGGCTCATACTTCCGCGTCCACTTTAAGGTAACACCCGCTTCTCGTCATGATTGGCTTCCAGCATTCCTTGTGTTGAATTTTCTGCTTGCTTAATACAATGACACTTCCTGTATTGATATAGCACAGTAACCCCCCCTCTCCCTCCTTTCCCCTATTCCCCCCCCCCCCTCCCCCCCCACCTTCCCTGGAAACCCCCGCCCTCCTCGTCCTCTCTCTCCCTTCCCGGCTTCCCCTCCCCCCCGTACCCTTTCCATTCCCCTTTCGCTAAGGCCACATGTTCCGTGTTACCATCGTTCCCTGGTGCCAATCGCCAAACCGACTCCCAACTCACGGATTGATCAAGACTCGCGCCCTACTCCATCCACCCTCGCTCCCTTTCCTTGCTCACCCCCGCCCCTCTTACCCTTTCCCCTTAGTTCGCCCATCCCTCGCATCCCTCCCCTCTCCACCTCCTCCCCCCCCCTCTCTGCAGAACACGCGCGAGACAGCGCAGGCGATTAAGCACATGGATCTCACCGGGGCTCCCCCTCCTCCCCCTCCCCTATTCCGTTTTCCCTTTCCGCCACACCCCCCCTCCCCCTCCTCCTTCTCTGCCCGGTCCCCACTTCCCCCGCGCAGAACACTCGCGAGACAGCGCAGGCGATCAAGCACAAGGCGAAGCGGTTCCTGGAGGACGTGATCGCAAGCAGGCCGTGCGGTTCCGCCGCTTCTGCTACTCTTTCATCGACTCCAAATTCTGACCAGCTCACCAATCCCCCTCCCCTTCCCCCCATGTACGCCCCTCTCTTGCTCCCCTTGTGCCGTTTGCTCCCCGCCCGCTTCCCCCCTTCCTCCCCTCATCAGAACACGCGCGAGACAGCGCAGGCGATCAAGCACATGGATCTCACCAAGGCTCTTCCCCTCCCCCTCCCCCATTCTGTTTTCCCTTTCCGCCACACTTCCCCCCTCCCCCTGCTCTGCCCGTTCCCCCTTTTCACAGAACACGCGCGAGACAGCGCAGGCGATCAAGCACATGGATCTCACCAAGGCGAAGCGGTTCCTCGAGGACGTGATTGCGCACAAGCAGGCTGTGCCGTTCCGCCGCTTCTGCGGCGGCGTGGGGCGCACGGCGCAGGTGAAGCTGGTGCACACCAACGGCCAGGGCCGCTGGCCCGCCAAGTCCGCGCGCTTCCTGCTCGATCTGCTCAAGAACGCCGAGAGCAACGCCGAGGTACGTCTCTGCTGTGTTACTCGTCGGTGCTCGTCGGTGCACGGCGGTACTGAGGGCGTGTGTAGGTCGCTTCCTGCTCGACCTGCTCAAGAACGCCGAGAGCAACGCCGAGGTACGTCGGTAGGTACTCGTTGGTAGGCGTCGGTACTGAGGACGCTCGCTTCCTGCTGAACCGGATCACGAACCCCCGAGAGCAGCCCCTAGGTCGTAAGCAGTTATCCAAGCGGAATTCAGGAATTAGAAAGTATAGCTGATTGGGGTTCAGGGGTTGTTCTGCAGAGGAGCGGGCCTAGGGATCGGAAGCTGTGGACCGTTCGATTCGTCGTTCGTCACGGCAGTCTGTTGAGTCACGGGCCCTGTCGCGCAAGGTTGCACACTAGCAGACTGCGTTTTTGGTGACGTTGGTAGAGTGCCGTAACTGTTCTGCGCCTTCTGGCCGTGAGCGTGGCGGAATCGCAAACGGGAGCGGTAGTGTTAACGGAAGCGGATGGGAACGCGGCGCCGCGAGCGGAAGCAGAAGCGGAAGCGGAAGCTGTAGGGGGGACAGAGGCGGGAAACGGTGGTGAAAGAGGAACTTGGAGAGGTGTTCCTTAGGTTTTAGGAACGGCAAAGAGGGAGCGTGGGACTGATGGACGGAAAAGAGGTTCGAGACGTTTTAAACTGGAACTGAGTGGAAGCGGAAGTGGGAGACGTAAGCCTGGTGGCTTTGGAAACGAAAAAAAGAACGGTACTGGTGGAGGGTTTGCACGCGGAGCGACTCTCGAGGGGCAGGTTCGAGATCGTCCGGAATTTATATTGCAGAACGTGACAATCTCGACGACGTTTCAGGATCTTGAATGCTTACTGTACCCGAACACGTGAGCACTGGTGAATCGGGTTTTTATTAGAACCCTCTTTTGTACTTCCAAGTCCGTCCCCCCCTTGTCCCCCCTTTCCCTTGCGCCCCTCCCCGCCGCCGTCGACTCGCTCCACGTAAGCCGCATTCAGGTCAACCGCGCACTCAAGCGAACCCTACTTTCGTAATCTGCTCCCATTCCGATCACTCACTCGTCCTCTCCCCCCCTCATTCCCCCGCATTCCCCCCGCTCCCCCCCACCAGGTGAAGGGGCTTGATGTCGACTCCCTCCACGTGAGCCACATTCAGGTCAACCGCGCGCCCAAGCAGCGCCGCCGCACGTACCGCGCGCACGGTCGCATCAACCGTGAGTGCCAAACCCTTCCCGCGCCTCCCCCACCCGCGTGTTATGGCACTATTTCTGGGGCACGTCAGTGCCCTGCCCCGCGCCTCCCCCACCTGCGCTGCCGTTTTGCGACGTCTCAAAGCACGTACCGCGTGCACGGTCGCATCAACCGTGAGTGCCAACCCCCTCCCCCACTGCGCCCCTCCCTCACTGCGCCCCTCCCGCACCGCGCCCCTCCCCCACCGCCCCCCTCCGCCACTCGCGCTGCCCCTTCCCAGCCTTGTTTGCCTTCCACAACCGTACCATCATCCTACCCCCCACACGCTGCTCCCTCCTCCCACCCGCCCTTCCCATTGCCCAGCCCTTCAACTGTGTGCAGCCTACGCATCCCATCCCTGCCCCCACAACCCATACAAGCCGATTCATGCCACCTTCTAGCCCCTACTTTTCAATCTCAATGCATATGTTCATGTTTTTCGCCCTTCTAAACTATGCTGCCCACAGCTCTGTCTGTCCGTCCCTGCAATCACCTGAAAGCTCAACTCTCCTGTTAGCTATACCCACCCTTTCCTGTCCTTACCCCTCCCCTGTCCTTCCCCCTCCCCTTCCTTTCTCTTTCCCCTCCCGTCTCGTCTCTGTCTCTTTGGTTCTGTGCAGCCTACATGTCGTCCCCGTCCCACATCGAGTTGATTCTCTCAGAGAAGGAGGCGGAGGTCAGGAAAGAGGTGAGACTCCCTAAACCCTTCACAGAAATAATGCTGGAGCAGGTATTTCAAAATTTGAAGGCGTTGAGATGGTGTATAATTTTTTCATAAGGGGTTGTCTAGGCAATGAGAAGGTTTGCAGCTCGGTTCGGCATGTGGCTAACAATATTTTCCTTTGCTTTTTGTGCTAACAGGCTGAGGAGGGTAGCCGCAAGACGAAGAAGCAGAGCAGGCTCGCAAACTAAAGCTGATGTGGCCTGGCCAGCATCTGCAGCAATGCGTCTAGGTTGCAACAAATGTATGGTGGTTGCTTGCTCATGTGCCCTGATGTCTAAATTTGTTGGAAGAAAATCTTTCTGCCAATCTTCATTTACCGTAAATGCCACAGTTTTGCAACACATAGTTAGCATGAATAGACAAGAACATCTGAAACATCGGTTGGATACACAGAATAGTGGAGCTGCTTGTTCCGTGAATCCAGAGAAAAAGCGAACAGCTGGTAAATTTGTCGCTTTTGTCCCGGCCAGCCAAATACAGAGCCAGCTATACGCGGAGTTCTGTACTGTAATGAGTACAATTAAACGCAGTGTCCCTTTTCTTTCGGTTGGAATGTTTGGCGGAAACCACTCGTTAGCATTCTGTCGCCATGACAGAAAGACAGCTGGACTGAAAAAGAACGATTTCAGTGTCGAGGGTGTTGTTGAAAAACAAAACCAGGATCGCTCGTCATTCTCCTCCACTCGATGCCTGGGCGAGTCAGATTTGCCGAAATGAGCTAAGAATCACTGTCGCCCAGAGCCCAATTTTGTCAAATTTGCCCCCTAGCTGATTCAGCAGAGCAATTCCGCACAGTAAACTACACCCTCGCGCCTACACGCGTTATCACCGTCAGCACATATGAGTAGACACCTCCATAGCTGTGAGCACAAGCTATCCATTGATGAGAAAAGGTCAGAAGCCACAGCCTTTTCCACGACAGCAAGACCACAATGCTGAGCAGTGTTACTGTGGTATCGGTTGACCTCCTCGGACTTGGGACAAACGTGGCGTCGATGCGTCCGTCCCCTCCCCATGGCGGACGAAGCCAAACAGGGAAAAGGGCTGATTTTGGAAGCGCCCGCGCCCGCAGGTTCTTCCGCATTCGATGAGCAGAGACGACAAGCCACGGAACTATATGATCGCAGCTAATCGGCTCTTAGCGTATCATACTCCAGTAGTACTTACTTTCGATTGAAACCATGGCCGCGACAACTCCTGTCCCCGCTCTGTTGCTCGTCCTCGTCCTCTCAACAGCAAGCTCCTCTTTCGTTCGCGCGCGATGGCTGCCGTCCATGCGCAGCGGCTCCGAGAAAATACCGCACGTACCCGCAGCGGCAAGCACTGATACTGAACCACATGCAGACGCCGTCGCCAATCGCGGCGGGAATGTCGCAAAATGCGTCGCGACGGGGTTGAGCGAGCTCTCCAACTTCCACGGAGCGTCCAGTTGTCGCGTGTTTTCGACGCGAAGCGTTTTCATGGCGCCCGGAGCGGACGAGTGGACGTCCTTCGGACCTCAGGATAAAGCGGACGCCCTAAGACGCCTTAGCGACTCAATCCCTAATCCGTCGTTCGCTGTCGAGTCCGTTACATCGCATCGCCTCCTCAACAGCCTCTACAAGCCCGCGGATCACGCGCTTGTCGTCCTTGGATCCGTCCATTCGTCCGCACCTGGCGCTGAGTCTGGAAGTGAAAAAATCGGGGGGCGGTTCCTCACTTTCTGGGACCAAGTTTGGCCTGCTGAGGACGCTTATAACGAGGATTGTTCCAAATGGGGTCTCAGCTGGCTAATGTGGCAAGCCCGCAACGAAAACGGCGTTCCCGCGAAAAAGGTTCCTTTCACTGCTAACGTTTCCGCCGATTATTCCGTCTCTCCTGACCTCGGAACGGCAGCGAAGCCGTCAGAACAACCGGCAGCAGAACCAGCAGACGTCACTCCAGACATTCTGAGGATGGATGACGATTTCGGACACCTGGACGACGTCAAGGCAGCGCAGAGCAGCAACGAGGAAGATAGTAACGGGGACAAGCACGAGGTGAAGGCTACGCTGGGGCAAGGCGAGGAGCCGAAGCAGTCGGATGTGACTTTCTACGTCCAAACAGCGTGGAGTGCGTTTGTGTCTGCTCTCGCGGCTGACGACCTTGCGTCGGCCTCGTCTATCCTGTTCGGTCCCGACGCCGTGACGCTCATGGCTCCGGGTGCTGACAGCGTGACTCTTGCAACGGAACAGGAGAAGGCAAACCTGCTCAATGTAAGCCCACTCTCCCGATTCTGCTGTATGGTCGTTACAAGCTCATCACACTAAGCTCCCTCTTATGAGGGATGCCAATAGTATCTGTTCTATTTGTTCTCTTTTCCAAGAGTATTTGTGTCTCGATGTCTCACAAATTTCGGCTTTGGACATGCAGGAATTGAAGGCATCGCACCTATCATTCTCGGTGATGGTAGAGGAAGTCGCTGTGCTGAAAGGAAGTGAGTCCATGCAGAATGTGGAATCATCAACCATCAGTGCTCTCGTCAGATCGACATACAGCATCGCAAATGCTCAAGGTTCGTGCAAGCAGTCTGACTGCATACATTGCATGGCTTGAAATTCTCAAGTGGAAGCCATTTTCTGACCCTGCTGTTATTTCATTGCCGGTTCAACCACTTGGCATGTGCAGGCATAGAAGTGGAGCACGGAAAGAGAGTGGAGCTATGGCGGCCAAGTGCTACTAATGGGCGAGAGTGGCACTTGTCATGGTCCATGTGGAATGGAAATGGCCATGTCCTTACAAGGGAGGAGGCCATGGCTGCCTACGAAAACGATAAGTTTGTTCCACACGACGACAACAACCAAAGTATTTTCTAATCTGTAGGCAGATGAATCAGATCCATTACAAATAGCTTCTGGGGTGCGGAAGTACCTATAAAGAGTACCATTTGTTTTATTTATAGGTGAAACGTGATATTTATTTATTTATTTATTGTCTTAGTCTGAGAGTAAGTGTAGTCGGTGAGCTGAATCACAGCAATGGGTCACAATTTCTTCAAGGATGGAGCAAGAAACCGCCTTCAGAAATGGGTCAAAGCGGGAAGGCCCTCCCCAGCGTGCTGCCGAGCAACGCGATGGCATTTTCCCTTTTCCGCAACCCGTCCCTCCGTCCAGACTCCCATGAATGCCGTTCCTGGTTCCCCCAACTCCACATCAGGACGCGGCACCTGTTTTCAAATTGGCACGTTTGGAGGAGGTTCGGGGCCTCACATCGATCCTGCCTCGATCGATGGGCACACCGGTGTGCCCAACTGTCTTTTGCGATCGCCTAGACACACCGAGCCTCAAGTGACACGATCGCAGAATTCTGGGGCAAAATTGCCCCGATCCCCACAATTATACGATCGATGTGAGGGCGCAAGCACATCGATCTTGCGAGCCCCAGGTGACACCTTTTTGCTGACATATTTACTGTACGTAGACGAAAATGTGCGACAAAGGATACCATATCTTTAGCGACGTCGTCAAAATACTGTAGAGCCAACACATCGATCCCCGCGAGGATCGATCGTGGCAATTTGAAAACAGGTGCCGCATCCTTACTGTACTCGTGGAGAGCAAGCGGGGGAGGGCTGCTCGGTTAAGGTCAGGCCACCCTAAACCTTAGAACCACGGGATTTCATGCAGGAACCCAGAGAAATACAGTATACCACACTATGCAACTCACTGTATCCTACTGTACAAATGTTCCGGGTTAGAGGCCCTCGTTGAGAGAGTTCCTTTTCCCCCCAGAGAATATTTTTTTGGGTTGCGTAGCAACCCTATATAATCAGTTCCACTTTTTGGGGATATCATTCAAGATTGTTTTTCAAATCATTTTTTGGGGCACACATTTGAAGCAAATGCCCAAAAAGTGACTAAAAACAACACTTTGAATTACATCTTCCAAAACGTGAAACCAATTACGAGCGTTCCATGTTGAAGCCATAAACATGTCCGACCATCCCAGCATCGTCGATTAATACGGCGGATGGTATGATCGAACAATATAACATAGCATCAACATGTACGAGTGCAACTGACACGGGATACCGAATGAACGACGACACAAGTGTTTGTGAACGTGCCGAAATGGATGCTAATGCATATCAATGTTGCAACCGAGATTGATGGGGTCGTTGAAACAACGAAGATACGTTGCACCAGGGCCTCAGATAGGATTCAGGGGACCCTGACCCATCAGGGCAGTTCCCCCCCAAAAAAAAAAATCGCCCTGATTGATCAGTGCTGAGGTGCATTCAGGATCCTGTTTTGACAGGGTAAATACTAATGTAATCATGCCCTGTCAGGGTAAAGACTAGTGTAATCCTGATTTGTCAGGGGGGTAAAAAACTACTTTACCAACACTGTTATGTATGTGAAACATTTTCATTCCACGTTCTGACAATACAATCATTATTCAAATCCATCTAGCATCCTCCATCAGCACATCATTACCATCACTAGATCCTCCTGCAACATCATCATCTGAGTCATAGCCGCCACCGCCATGGTCGGCCTTCTCCTGCTCCCTGTCACTGCTGTTGCCTTTGCCACCATCAGCTGCACCACCACCACCACGCTTCTTCACGGCATGAGGGGGGTTGCTCTTACGCTTGGTTGGGCGGCGCTTCTTCGTGCTGCGCCACAGCTCCACAAGGTCTTTCCACTCGACGTCGTACTCCAGCAAGCTCAGCGTCATGAGATCACCAAGCTTCGCGTCGTGCAATCCCGTCCGCTGCCAACTCTTGATGATGTTTTGTCGGGAGAAGCCGCGTTCGCACTCCACAGTGCTAATCGGCAACACCGCCACTGCTACCCACAGCCGCACCAGGTTGGGGTAGCTCCTCGGCCAGTCTACAGTGGCCATCATCGCCTTCAGGCCCGCATGGAAGGCCTGCTCCTCCTTCGGCGCCCCGGATAGAACCGACAAGAAGGTCCGCATCTCCCTTTTGCACTCCCGCTTCGTCACACTTGGCAGAAGGGACAGGTGATGGATAGCAAGGGACCGCAGTGCAACTCAAGGGGCCATATCACGCTTACTGACACATACAACAAAATCGTATACCGGAGCAAATCACAAAGACGAATACGAGGGGGAGGTTTACTCACCTGGTAGAACTTCCTCTCGCTCGCGCGCGTGGAACATGGTGTAGAGGCCGTCCAGATGCTCAAGGCACTCCGCGTCTCTCGCCTCTCTTCCCCGCGGCCAGGTGCGTGGCATGAAGAGCTTAGCAGAATTGAGGGTTGACAGACTGCTGAGGCGGAAGTTAATATTGTATATTAGCTCCGTCGCGAACGACCGACATGTCCGCACACACGACTGGAGGTCTCCCGCGCTGGTGGTGTAGCCCTTTACAGCTGTCTCATGCAGAGTGAACTCGTGAGTGCATGGCTGATGATCACCGTCCACGCCTTGCACACGCACGTCTTGGCTGCACGGCGAGCTGTGCCGCGCGAGAAACGGCGACAGCATTGCGCTTGCACCGCCCCCGAATTGCTGACCGCAATCGATGTAACGCTCCTGGAGGAACACGAGGATCCGCCGCACCTGGGATTGCACAGCCATGAAGTCCACCTGCAGGTTGGTGGTGATGGGGGGGGGGGGGGGGGGGGGGCAGGGTAGGGATAGCACAACAGAGAGGAGAATAAGCACAGAGAAGCACAGGCATACACGCGTATTCGCTGACAACATATTACCTCGCGCTTCTGGAACATTAGGTTGAGCATGTTCAGCTCGACGTGAATATCTCCAAGGAAATAGAGGAAGACATGGAACTTCAGAGATGTCACCACCAGGTACATCGTGGGGTCCAGCCGCTCAAGTAGGACCACCACCGCCGGGAAAACCTTCACAAAACGGGCGATGGCGTCACCGCGGCTCAACCACCGCACGGCATGGATGCCCTGAACCTCGAGGTTCGTCTGCGTGAAGACCTTCTGCAGGTCAAAGAAAGTCTTGTGAGAGTTGCTGGAGCGTCCGAGATGTTCGGCAACTGCACGAATGACGGAGTCGACGAGGCCGAGTTCAGGCAAGGCGATCGCAGAGTCTTTCGCAGCGAGAGCTTCCCTGCCAAAGGGGCGGGCATGTCACGCAGGAATTAGCGAATGCACCCTATAATATACAATAACAACATTCAGAGGTAAATGATATACCGATGTGCGATACAGTGAGTTGACACGAGATGGGGAACGGTTAGGCGAAGCCGCGCGGCAAGACCAGTACTCCCGCCAATCATCACCATGGCGCCATCGGTGCTGATTCCCGCGATCTTGCTCAGCTCGATGTTGACGCTCTCCAAGTACGCGGTGAGGACACCAAAGAGGGACCCTGCGTCACCCTTGTCAACAGTAAGTAGAGTTAGAAACTCCGTGACAACCAAGCCATCTCGCAAAAAAGTCACAAACACAATCATGTGTTTCCCGTGCACACGATCGGTGCTCTCATCGCAGCTCAACCCGATAAACGGGCTTGTGTCGATGTATTCGCGCTGTTGGTCGTGGAGGTAGGTTGCCGATGCTACGACAAGCTCCTGGAATCCGTACCTGCAAGGAAGGACAACACAAGGTTGAGGTTATACGGAAACACACCACAAGAATCACCAAAAATAAGAGCAGTAAAACCCACTCTTACGTGGTATAGTACGAGCCGTAGCCACTTTTGGGGAAGCCCGGAGTGCCACGGCTAGCCAGATGCCGAACAAGCTGCACCCACATCTCGATTGGTGCATCAGTCTTGGCGATGAAGAAGAGCGTCTCCAACAAAGCCCGCACTTGCTCGTGCTCTAGATCCCGTGCTTGAGGGAGATCCTCGATTCGCTGTTGGCTCTTGACCTTCGCCAGAGCTAACTCCTGATTGTGAAGCGCATCCTTGTGCTTCCCGGACCACTGGTGAAGCCGCATGGCTTGTGTCTGCACGTCTGTAGCCCCTTCACCCCTCGCGAAATTCGTCCCTGCGCCACCATACTCCATACAGATGGTACACTTCATAGAAGGAAACCCGTAAGACGTCTGGCAAATTACAAGCCAAGGAAAATCAGTAGTCCAGGACTTCTTGAAATTGAAAAGCGCTTCCTGGTAAAGATTCTCAGCGATGTCGGGCAACACTGTGTCGGCTGAAGCAGAGGGCCTGGTTGATAAGAGAACGGTCCGTGTAGCCTCGGTGGGTTGGGTTTGATCTTGCCTGGGTGGTGCCATGGATGTGCGCTCGAAGGAGATCTTGGTCTGGTGGAAGCGTGGATTTGCAAGCTTCTTGGAAGGGGGTCCCACACGGACAGACCCTTGCACGGCTGCACGCGAGCATTCGGCCCGTGTTTGAATCGGCGGTGGGAGGTCCGAGTTGTCGACGACAACCTCAGTGACTGGACCTGACGGAACTGCAGGCGAAGGGTCTGCTGGCGAAGGAGCCGATGGCGGAGGTATTGGTGGCAAAGGAGCCGCTGGCGGAGGTTCTTTTGGCGATGGTACTGACGGCGACGGTTCCGCTGTCGAGGGTACTATTGGCGAGGGAACGACTGGCGCAAAACGAAGGAAATCGAGGCCCGTTAAGGGCTGAATAATTACGGGTTTGTCAGGCATGACGGGGGCTTCACCGCCGCCCTGTGGCGACGGTGAAGCCATAGGCGATTTCAGCTTCGGAAACAACGTGTGAGATACGATGTCGAGGAGGTTGCAAAATGCGGGCGGAAAAACACTAACAAGAATGATTCTATCACGTTTCGCCCTGCATCAACAAAGGGATGAAGCAGGAGGTGGAGGAACTGCTGTCGAGAAGAGGAGGAGATGGAACGGAAACGCTCCTTCTGGAGAGTTCCACGATCATGCGCCATGGCGCCCCGTCGTGACTTGAGGTGTGGACGAGGTTGGCCGAGAGCTTAAGCTAAGCGTGGCAAAGTTGCCGCGTGCCGCGTGGGTTCTTTGCTGCGGCGGGTCCTGATTGGTCGAGATGGCAACTTTGATGTGTCGCTGTACAGCCACGCGCGAAAAAATCTGTACAGCGGTGCAAATTTCATCATTTCCCACCGCACATCTCGCATGTTGCGCTGTACCCCTGTCGGTAGTTTTGTATCTAGTCACCAATTTTTTTTTCGCGGTACAGGCTGATTCAGGGTACTTTCCAATAGGATCCTGATGGATCAGGGTCCGGGGTACTTTTAAATCCTGATATCACAGGATGCAAAATCCTATAAATACTGATTTGTCAGGCCGGTTTTTATACAAATACTGAAATGCCAGTCCTGGGGCACCATGCAGATCCTGAAATCAGGGCATTCAGGATCTTTTATCCTGATATCTGAGGCCCTGCGTTGCACC